CCTGATTAAAAGAATCTATCATAGAAATCAATAACATTGGTAGTAATTAAATTATCCACAAATATACAAAACGAATAATATGTTTATATTCACATAAAATATGGGTTGTGCCCTACATCCAAATAAAGAACTCCCGAAGTTAAAATATAGGTTTCAAATTTAAGGGGCCATGACATCAGCCAGATTGCTTGGAGAATATCAGTTCTGGTGAAAATCGACTGAACGATTTCGCCACTAGCGTTGCTCACAGATGGACAGGCAGACGTTTTGCCGTCCTTTTTTTATTCGGTATCAAAGACCCATATAACATGGATTCTGGATACACCACGTGAGAGTGTTTTGTATAAAGGCTCTAGTCGGAAAAGTAGGTAAGAGAACTCCCACTTGAAATCGAAAATACAATTTTTTCTAAAGATTGTGACCATGAAAAACATTTTTCCGTGGACGGTTTAGATTCCTTCTCCCCACAGCCTTCGTAATAAAGAAACAAGTTTTTATTTTATTTTTATTCATTGAACTGTCCAAGTGAATTTTCATGGTAAATAATGATTCTTTATGTAATTAATTTTCAATATTTTAAAAATAACTTCAAGATTTTATTTTAATATAATTAAATATGGCGCACCAATTAGAAAAATCTGAAAAAATCCAGAAAATATCTGGTTTTGAGTTCAACATTCGAGAATTTTCTCGTGCACTAGGTAGATAAAAACTTTCTTAAAAAAAATTCCAAAATGTTCAGATCCATTTAAAAGTTTGAATTTTGCCTCAAATCATATTTTTAAAATGATTTTTGTAATATTTAGCACATTTCACATAAAGCATTATTATTTTCCATGAAAATTATTTATTAAAAAGTATGATTAAATCAAAATTATTATTATTTCCCATATGCCTAATTCAATGAATAAAAATAACACAAACACTTTTTTCGTTATTATATATTCTGTGTGGGGTGGGGGAATGGCCATAATAAAATGTTTTTCGTGGTCACAACCTTTAAGAAAATATTTACTTTCGATTTCAATCGAGGGCAGTTTTTACCTTCTTTTCCAGCTAGAGCCTTTCGCAACTTATTTTATCCACTTTTTTTGTTTTCTGCTGCAAATTCGCCGTTTTTTCGCGAAGCATTACATAACTTTCTGTCTGCTGTGTACGCGGTAGCGAGAAAGTAAGAAGTTTCATAGCAAATGTATTTGCATAGCTGTAGTATTTTAAATTGGAATTTTATTTTGCTATAATCAAAGCAACCATTCGAGAAATTATTTAGGCTTTTCTGTATGATATGCCGCAAATACTGTTACAGTTAAATTTATTCATGTGTGTTTCATTTGTAAAAGTAATAAATGACAACTCTCATAGAATATCGATATAAATGCACATATGCACCACAGACGCTACGTTTGAACTTGTTGCATTGGACGTTTTGAAGTTAAAACTGCAGAATTATTGAGGCAATATTATAATATTACTAAACTTTTTCCAATAATGAAAGAGAGTATGTGCTTTTTTAGCCCCACTATTTTCTTTATGATTCTCTATTACGATAATCAAAGAGAACAAGCATTTTTTGTAAGATAATTTGTAATTTTGTCCTCGATTTACATAAAAATATTTTATTGAAAATAGATCAATGCGAGAGTGGAACGTAAAGAGAATATCAATGAAAATCTGATGATAGACTGGGTCTGCTAGAAGATTATTTAATGAATTATAAGAAACAAAGTTTCAGAGGTATTGCCTACAAAGGACATTTTAAAAGATTTTGGATTGTGTTTAGGTTAATTGAAATGAATAAGTGGAATAAAAACACAATCATATATTACTGCAAACCACGTGTTACCAGGTAAAATTGAAATATGATTTTCCTCATATACTACTTTTCCTTGACTTTTTAATTGACTTAAGAATAACGAGACTATCATTCCAGACCCTTGAGGTGGGTACTAGCGCTTTCTGGTCTGACCGAAGAATTAAAGGCGAAGTGATTTAACGCCTCTGATGTTTCAGTTGTTGGGTGTCTCTTCTCTGTCATTTTCGTGCTCCCGTTCTATTAACATCGGTATGTATCTATCTATTTATTAGGGTATCCGTAAAATTGTTTATCCAGGCAATCATTTGCTAAGGTTTCTTTCATTTAAAAATTATATTGTCATTGATTCTTGCCTGTCATGGATCAAGCCATGGCGATAGTGAAATAGGTTTCCTCTAGCGATTTATGTCAAAAAATTAATTTTTGGTTTACTATTTCATTTCTGTGTGTTAAAGGATATGAACCGAAACACTTAACACTTAACGTAAATACTCGTACCCTTGCGGTCCTTTGTGATTATTTATGCTCTCGGGCCTTCGGGATACTTCATGGCTCGCTCTAATTCCAATTCAATATACATCTTTATGAATTCGATTTATTGAAGTTAAGATGCAAGCAAATACAATAAATAGAAGATATATTAATAAACATAATATAATAAACATAAATTTATATATATATTAATAGACATAAATAAATTTAAAAACTTGTTATGAACTTTATTTTGCTTAATTAATACGCAAAATTGCAATTATGTAATGTTTCCGTAAATTTAAAATTGCCAAGTCATTCGTATTTCTCTGTTACGTATCATCTTAGAGACTCACTGCTTCTTGAGTAGCAGTACTACTCGTAGTAATAAAATGTATAAGGCACATTGGTTAAGTTGAGTGATGTTGAGTATTAGAAAAAAATCTCACAAAAGGACAAAAATAGCCACAAGTAGAAATGGTGACATTACGTGCATTTGGACACGCCCTGACGCTCTGCTCACGCACAAGACAATTTTGCTGAGGAACTCTGCAATTAGCGCCTGGCTGATTCTCAGCTCATAGCGCGGCAAACGGGCACAGTTTGTAACTTATAGAAATTAAGAGATTAAATATAGGCAGTGAACTTTGCGCTTACCCCACAATACACTTTAAATGACATGCATACTAGTGCTAATGTCCAAGTAAAGAAGAATAGAACTTTGAATTGCACAAAGGCATAAAAACGTCCTATCCGAACAAGCGTCAACCCGAGACGAAAAATTGTGATTCAACTGAAAGTTACTTCCGAAGTGAATGCGTTAGAGCGTAAAGGAAAGTGGGGAAAGCTTGACCAATTTGGCAGCTTCAAAAGCTTCTAAAACATTCAATCTGCAGGTCTGCAATTGGATTGGAAGTTGGCATGGTCGCTAGCAAAGGTTGGTTGGTTGTTAGTGAATCCCAGTGCATCAACTACTGAGATCATTAGTCCCGTCATTAGTATAGTGCATGTTTTACTCGGGGTGACGGTGATCCGGCGAGATCCGGCGCCGACCTACCGTCGGCTAGCGGGGGTTTCCCCAACCAGGCATCTCCCACCAGCGGAGCACCGACCCAGCAGGGACAGGCTGTAAGCCCCCGACCGATCTCCCGGAATGTGTGATAGTGTAGTGCATGTTAGAGCAAGTGTTTGTAAGGAGTGACCATACGGCAAAGAAGAGGTAAGAAAGAGCGCGCACGATCCGTGTCCTGTTTGTTAGGGTACTGCTACATTCACATGGTGCACCGAAAAAAAAGAACTGTTTCAGTATACCAGATCCATGATACTGTATCATGGATCATGGATATAGTATACTCCAACAGTTCATTTTCTTCGGTGTGATCGGAGAAACCAAGGAAAACTACCGATTAGAGCAGCCGGCCTCAAGAATTCTCCTCCAGACAGCGACTGAATCCGACCTAGCTTACAAGCTCGTGCCAAAACATTTCACCACTTTCGGACCCGAGCCTAGGACCTCCCGGCCAGAGACACTGCTGTCACATCAGTTGATGCGCCGAACCACCTCTCCCGGTATTAGCAATGGCGCTGGAGGATTCATGGAATTGGGTTCCTGCACGCACGTGTAGCGATAAAGTGTTCTAGCTTTTCACCGAGGTGACAAAAGTCATGGGATATCTCCTAATTTTGTATCAGACCTACTTCTGCTTGGTAAAGTGCACGCACTCGACGTGGGATGGATTGTTATGTTGTTATAAGTCTCCTACACAAATATTGATCCATTTATAGAACTCGCTGTAATTCTTAACATTTTAATTTATACAATAAAATCGCACAGTCTCGGCCATGAGTCGGGTACATTTCACATTTTATATTCCAAGTTGTATTCTCACCCTGATTTGATCTGGGTGGCCACATCAGCCGCTCAAATTATAGAGAATGTTCCTCAAACTATTTGCGAAAAATGTGGCCCGATGACATGGCGCATTGTCATCCACAAAAATTCCATCGGCGATTGGGAACATGAAGTCCATGAATGGCTGCAAGTAGTTTTCAAGCCTGAACATAACCATTTCTAGTCAATGATTGGTTCAGTTGGAACCGAAGGCTAGTCCATTCCATAAAAAACTGTCCACTCCATTGTGAACCCACAACCAGATTGTACAGTGACAGGTTGACAACATGGGGCCTTGGCTTCGTGGGGTAGAATCAAATCATTCCTTCAACTCTACCGATTTATATCGGGACTCATAAGATCAAGACTCGATTTTTTGGTCGTCTAGGGCCAGTATTTTAATGATACCAGGAGGTTTGCTACAGGCAATGTCGCGCTGTTAGCAAAGACACTCCAGTCGGTCTTCTGCCATAGTTCATTATAGCCGAAACAAATACGTTTGTCGTTTCATCCACATTGATTTCTTCCTTTAACACAGTGTGCGGCCATAACCACTTGAAACGCCTTTTCCCATAAATCGCTTGAGTACAAAAGAATGGTTTGTCAATGCTCTGCCTTTTTATACCTTTTGTAAGCGATACTACTGCCACTAGTATATTTGCATATTGCTATCCCACGACTTTTGACTCCTCAGTGTACTTTCATGACTGCAGCCGCGCTTGAACCGTGCATCAAATGGGCGCCGAGGTGAACGCATTTGTTCGTGTTCTGTCAGCGCTGAATCAATTAACGCGCATGTATCAAATCTGTCTTCTCTTCCCGTAGGAAGGAGTGCAATATGGCCGACAGAGACCGCCTCTTGGAGCTGTTGCAGTCGGAGCCCTCGTGGCATGGAGACCACCTCTTCGCAGAAAATCTGCGCTGGATGGCCTACATGGGCGCGCACACGGGCCCCAACCCTCGCCATCTCTCCTTCGTGCAGATGGCAATGCGAACCGTCCTGGGTGCACTCCATGCATTAGGTGTATACGTTCTCATAGCTGAGACCATGGATCTCTTCTTCAATACTGCAGGGATTGACGAGGTTGCCTTAGGAGCAGGAATATTTTCCCTTACGTCTGGCGCCTTCTTCAATAACTTTCATCTTGTATTCAATGCAAACAAACTCAGAAATATTTTTGATGCAATTCACTCTTATGTGGAAGAAACAATTCGCGTCGAGGCGAAAGCAAGCAATTCAACGATGTCGTTTTTTCTGAAAACAAAGAAGATAGACCTCCTGTCTAAATGGTAAATGTTTAACAATGTAAGGTTCCTTCTTCAAATAAATATATTAGTGTATGTATGTATGTATTATTTTGGCTAATTTAACACTTTGGCATTAATATGTGATTCTAGAATTGTTACCAAAAATTACAAAAATTATAATTCGAAAACACAGTAGTATATTTTAATAATAATCTCACTTAGCCAATACGTTGTATTCAATGATTTATGGAATACAAATATTTTTACTTTAAACTGAATTTGTACAAAAACGACGCTATCTAACATTCTTAAAATACAACAGCAATTTTTTCATATACAAAACTGATGATGCTATAACTGCTCATACTTTATCGCACTATTTGTAACTGCAAGACAATTTTATCTCAGCTCGTCTCACCTTTTTACTTCCGTAGTAAAGAGAGTATTGGATTGCTGCGGCGGAAATCGTGAAAGTTTGGAAAGAATAATTCATATTTTCGGGATCTGGTAATGAAAATTTGATAAAACTTTTTTTCTATATGTAGTAAATTACTCCCTCTAACACGTGTGGTCCAAATCTACATTTTGTGGGCCCCCATGAAATAGAATCATTTGACAGCCAAACCGACCGATCATTTGACCGTCTATGCATCCGTCTCTCCGTCCGTTTGTTTGTCCGTCTGCCCTTCTTCTGATCGTCCGTTTGTGGTCAATGCAAGGGCGTAAAAAAACATCTATATATTTAAATACTCGTAAGATCATGTAATATTTTTCGCAAAACGAATGTTTTGAGTGTTTTTAGTTTTACTTGAAGTTAATGCAATTGATAAAAATTCTCATAAACACCTCAAATTTTTACTTCCTCGAGCTTAAGAAGGAACTTCTTAAGAAGTGCAAACTACGTAATGCGGCGCGAAAAACGGTGAATTTTTGGGAGAAAACTCTAATTTCAGGGCCCTGATAACGAAAAAGTAAATAAATTCAGTTGCTGAATTTAGAAAATATATCTTCTAACACGCGGTGTAATCAGAATCCCTATTTTGTGCGCCGTTGATACCGAAAAATCGATTGATTTCAACACATCTGTCCGTCTCTCTACAAACAACGCTAGCCGTTAAACCGATTTTACCCCAAATTGATATTTCGTGATCGATCTGACTGGTGTCGTTACCCCTTGAATTTGAAACAGATATTTTAATTTTGGGGAGAACTTTACATAAAACTTCTGGGATATTTTAAAAATTGTCAAAAAAATGGCGGCCTCGCTTTTGATTAAATTTTGTTGATGGATAGTCTCAAGGACGTTTATGAAAATTGTGCAGGTCTCGTGTTGGTTGAAAACTCGTGTTGGTTGAAAACTGGTTGGTTTTATTCATATTGAAAATTCATTAAAACCAGATTATCAAAGAACGTCATGTTGAATGTTCGAAAATTTGAATATTTTTGGAGTAATTGGGTATCAAAATTAGTCACCTGCACTGAAAATCCTGTGCTTCTTGATCGTAATTTTAGGAGTATTTTGAGTCAGTTCGATGCTAGGTAAGTTAGAATGTGTATATTACTTCATATATCATATTTATTTGTTGATTTCGTACATCGGAGCTTTTGTTATACGTTTACAAATTAATCTTTTAGATATTATTTAAAACCTATTTGATATAAATATGAAATAAAGATTGCTAACCTTCAGTCGCCCCCTCCCAATTTATGCAGTTGGATGCTACGAAAGTTAGAGTTTATGTATTTATTCATATTTCACTTTAACATTATTTATTATTTTTATATTTCATTTTAAATTTCGTCCTTATTTGTGATAAATGTAAGGACGAATAGATGAGTGGCCATTGTTGGTTGTTGTACCGCTACACTGACAACAGAAGGCGATAATGACGGCTCCCTTTCGTTCGCTGTAATATAAACTAATACTTTTATATTTTTCTAGAATTTTACAATACCCTATTGTTTAATAATTACTATTATATGTTTTCGATATAATTACATTTGTTTGCTATCGCTTAGAAACCGTATTATTTATTAACTTTTAATTATTTTACTTTCTTGCACACTGCTTACGAACAATATTGTAGAAAACTCATCCGATATATTTGTGAATACAGTGAATACCTTACGCAATGAATTTAATGTTAGAAATATATTTTCATTTAAAACTATCTATTGCTTGAAGCTATTTAATTTTCTGACCAAATGTTCTACGATTTAAATCTGACTTTTACAAAAATCTCACTTTTACAAAAAACGGTGACTGAGATGTGTTCATTCGAAAAGAAATTGCGGTATAAATAGTATTATCTAATCATTAGTAAAGGCGAGAAAGTGCGTGCTGTTTATCACCACTGGTTTATTTCTAATGTTGAGTCGAATATCTGAAGACGAAATACTGGTAAATCACACACATAATACATCGTCTGCGCACAAGTTATATTATTTTGAAGAAGAAGAATAGTTTTATTCCAAACAGAACCGTTTCTTTTATAGGACAAGATACAAGTGTCTTAGTCTATTCACCGACTGTCTTTGACACATCACTGAGAAATACTAAAAACTAAAACGAATAGTTTCTAAGTATATTTCAATTCCAAACACATTTTTTGAGATATGTCACTTAAGTATAGCAACGCCAATATAGGTTTTGTTCTTTGTATCGCAATATGAATATATCTATATATTAAACAGGTAATTACTAACATTAAATAACTGGATACTATGCGGCTAGACCGAAGTCATTTAAGCCATTACAATACTTACATCCTACCGAGTTCTAACCTTTCGAATTCTGGAATTCACCCCAAATGGCCTCTCTATCGCATCAAAGCTGCGGAAAAAGACACCATAAAGTACCGCTGAGGAGAAAAATCCTGAAGCGGGAAAAACCTGCCGCCAGAAGCCGAGTACATGCTAATGTTTCAGACTTTTTCTAAGCTCTATTTATTTCCTGGTGCGGACGTCAAGCATTCTCCCTCCAGTCCTTGGCTTCCTCAGCACCTGGAATCAAGCAGCGCCCCAGCAGATCGTCTGCACCAACGCCTCTGCACTTACTTTTGTGCCACCCACTCCTCTTTGCCCCTTATGTTCTTATTTAATTATTTTCAATTTCATTTTTTAAATTCATTTACTATTATTGATGTTATTTACTATTACTTAACAGTTGACTATGGCTTATGGCTTCTTTACTTTACAGTTTACTAAACTTAAACTATTTATTAAATTAATTATTGTTTGCTTAACTTATTTATTTCCTCTCAAGTCTAGGCTCGGCTCGTACTAACTCATTCGGTTTTCCCACTTCCTTATTTCTGTTTCTGTAATAGCCCGAACCTTTCGTAGAAATGTTCCTAATTCTTTCATTAAGTGAGATTTTTAACACCTAATGTTTTGGACGAGTGTTACGTTTCTAAGTTAGAAGTAGTAGTTTCCCATTCCCATACATTTTCCTCTCCATGCTTCGGTCGCACAGCAATTTCAAAGGATGAGGACCCAATCTTTTCTATCACCACAAAGCACACAGATGTCATTACCATTCACGTCTTTCAATCTACCACCGACCTTGAACCAAGCTTACCCCCTTCTATGTGTGTGAACGTAACTTTCGCAACGTCATACCAGACTCGTGTGAGTTTGTGCGACTAGCAAACGTTTCCCGGCCGTTGCTGCCTGATACCTTGCCTTTTAATATCCGCAAGTCGACGCCGTTCTATCCCACGTGATCCCCTACCCCCACGACTCCAACTTGTGAAACTTCTCCGAAACCTACGCGTTCAAGTAAAATTTTTAATTTTGTACGAGCAGTACCCTTGGTCGCTTGCCCTGTAACAGGGTGTATATATATATATATATATACACACATCGGTATGCCAAAGGCCGTGCTGAAGTACCGTCGATGAGAGCTCGCCCTTTCGAGGAGGATGTAATTTGGTATGTATCCACTTTTCCATATCTACATTTTCATTCCCTCAGTACATGCTTACCTCAAGAAAAATTGCACCATTTCTCGGCAGTACTACAATACTTTTTTTTTACAATAAGAGTTCGTAGCAGGTGGGGAAGTAAAATTTTACATCAAACAATTGATCGCTCACCTTCCTGTCTTTCGTTTGACAGGTACATTAGAGGAACATTTATTTTTGCAAGTGTACCGCTTTTTGGATCACTGATTTTAATGAAGCAAGTTGTCCATTTCTGGAACCCGATTGACATGAGCTATGGTAAGTGAGACAAAATTATAATGTTATAATTCAATTGTTTAATAAGTATAGTTACTAAAGCCCTTTATTAATGTCATTGCATAGATTTTTCCCACTCAGTCATGAAAACAGGTAATTTATTTGTTCATGATTACGTTTGAATGTTGTATAGCTTATCCTTTAGTACTGTTCTCTCACTGTAAGTCGACCGGTTTATGATGCCCAGCTCTTAGATTTATATCACTTCAGTTCCTCTGTCCGAGAGGTCCCAGGATTCGCGTTCGGGCGGTAGGAAGATTTTCGACACTAGTCAGGCTGAATTCACAATGATCCAAACGCACATGTCACATATCGACCGTACTCTCTTGTGATGTTTTATTATGTTATATGTATGAAATAATGGCATTAGGGTAATATTTTTAGGAAAAGCTGTTACAACAATGTATTTTGGGTATGTGAATTCCTACGTGTAATCGTTTAATGTCGTTCCAGGGTACCGAAACGTCATTGTATGTTTCGCGACCGATTTTGGTTCAATCATAATGGCTTATAGTTTGGCCGTCTTTGTGACGTCATTTTCAAAAACGACGCTGGTGATGTGCGCTCTCTTAGAAGAGCTCTCAGGGACGCTGGGCCGCATAGGACACGACCAGGGACCAGAGGAGGAGGATGTCACCTTCCACGAGCGCATGAAGAGAGAGCTCGCAGACGCCATTAGGAGACATCAGATGCTGCTGGAGTGAGTATTCTGGAGAATCTAAAGCGGGGATGGTCAGGTGTTTATCGGTGATGCTTGATGTGAAGCCTATTGATGATCCTACTGGTGATAGACGCACGCCTTTCTCCACCAGAGCACGCCGCGGACGTGTCAGAACGAGATTCGGGAAAGGAAACAATCACAACGACTTCCCACTTTTCGAAAAGAGACTGCGCTGTCAAAATCTGCAGTGACGTGCATTTAGTCAAAAGATATGAATCATTGATATATTCCAGAAAAAGTGGATGATCTCAAAAAATAAACTTATAAATGTGAAAAAATGTAATAACGAAGAATTTACTTATTTTTTTTAAAATTCTGTTATCGTATCTCAATGAAAAATGCAGAAATACGTTCACTATCGCGCCCTTGAAGCGAGGTTTAAATTTGTAATATTGATATTTCATTGGGCCATTCGTGATTTCTTGTCTCGTTCAGACAGCTGCCTTTAGATCACTGCTCCATATATTGTGACGTCATGGATACTCACAGCGACCACAGACACAGAGCTTTCATACGACAAATATATTTATTAACAAAGAAAACAAAACAAATATATACACTTAATAATCTACGTACACCCTAGCTCTGATAGACCTACTATCCCCTGATCGCGGGAGCGATTCAAAACCCGATTGAAGATGGTTTTGATTGTGGCATTCGCCACTCCTACTTTTGAAGCGCGCACAAAGCCTAGCTTCCGTGACCGGATGTCACGCTGGGACACAAAGTCAGTTCTGGCGCACCAACGACTGGTTTGCCTCGATCGCAGGAGCGATCTTATCCGATTGAGAATCGGCGTGAATCGTGGCACTCAACCACTCTTCACCTCGGAACACGCACACAGCATCGCTCCCCCGTGACCGCAGTCACTCAAGGACATAAAGTCCGCAGGCTTCGTCAACTAATGACTCCAGCCTCGCGAGCCTGGCTCGCATATGCACCGTCTTGGCGCCAAGTTTTGTGCACACGCACTAGATTCTCCCACTGTCTCCAGAACCCACCTACTGGCTCTGTACACTCTGTTATATAGGCGAGGCCCACGTGACCTACTACGTCACGCCACCGCCCCCGCTTGTTATAACAGCGAAGGGTTTCTATAAGCCGGAAGACGCCAAAGCCTTGTGTCTCCCGTTTCCGCGTTCATGGCTTTACGGAAAAACCCTTCTTCCTGTGGCGAGGCTAATCCTCTACCAAGCGTCCCCAAATAGATGCCACGAGGCACGCTGGCTAATACGTTACAATATGATATACAGTGAGCGAGGAGAGCTGAGTGTGAAGATAGTTTCGAATGATGCCAGGAGACACCAACCGTTGTTGAGGTGAGCACTCTATATCAGATCGGGCGTATTGAAGCAGATGCTGTCATGAGGGCACGGAGTGAGAGATTGCGTTGTCCAGGGCACCGTAGCGTCTGCGGGTGAAACAGATGTGAGACAATGTGAGGGAATTCGAGGGTATTAGAAGCTAAGGGAAAGGCAAGGGTATTAGGAGGTAGGGAAAGTGCAATCTTACCTTCGGCGCGGATGTGGCGGATACAAGCAAAGTAAACTAGATCTACATCCGCTGGCAACAGTTTTGAGCCTAAAAGCATATTCACTTGTTTATGGTGCTTATTGGGCTCTTCTATAAACCACGATACCTGTAGTAATAATTCACCAGTTTCAAGAAGTTTGATTTTAATAAATTATTACCATTTTTTCACAAAATATCCGGAATATGAAAAACTATGAATTTACCGTTAAATATATCAACATAGGAGAGACATGCCAAATAAAATTTGTCACATTCTAAAAGGGCAGCTTTTTAAACGTATGTGATCATTTTTCAAGTAACAATTAACACAAAATATGCATTTTCATATAAATTCGGGCTCTATTTATGACTTTATTAACAGATCTGTCTTTGAGGAACAGGTTTTTAAAGGGAAAAAATTCCTATATTTAATATAGTACTTGAAGTAAGACTCTGAAACAATGTTCACATTTGTAATTTTCGTAAATTGAGAGATCTCAACGAAACCGACACCTGCGCAATCTTTTAAGGGTAATTTTTGGCTGCCTTATTAAATTTTCAAAATACTGAAAGTGTAAAGTACTCCCAAAAATTAAAATATTCCGTTTCATAATCTCAGGGTTTTGATATCATCTATATTGATTAGGGAATATATATTTTGTTGAAGAAAATTGTCCGAACGGTTTAGTCTTTATCGTTGACCAAAAATAGGCAGGCGGACGGACGGACGGAAGGAACGAACGAAATGAGTTTTCGTAACAACTAATTTTGCGGTACCAAGGATACTGAAAACGAGTATTCTAACTGTATATGATAGAGGAAGTAATTTATACATATATGAACAAGATTTCACCACTTTTCGATACCAGTGCAGTTCAGTACCACATTCAGTTTATGTTGAAAATCGCCGATTTTTATCGCCATCTTTCAATACTTTCTCTTTCACCTTACGTACGTAGTAAGGTGAGAAGGTAAGAAGTTCATATCAGGTACAGATGGTAAAGTCTCGCCTTCATGCATAAGTAATATGTTCTGAAAAACACTTTCATGATGATGAATTGTTTCCTTAGTATCAGAGTAATATTGAGACAGTAGGACATCTAAAATGTATTATTAGTATTTTAAGATACTGAGAGAATGCAAAATGCCTTGTGGGGTTTTTCTACTCTACGCAATATAACAGGTAAAATATAAGGAATTATGTCGAGTTAGAAATTAAAATGAGACATTGGGGATGCGAGGCATTGGAAAAGGAAAATACATTATTCGTTAAACAAATTTTGTACAATTTAGAAACATTTTGGGAAACAAAATGTACAAAAATAGCATAAGACATTGTTCACATGACAAGAGGGGGCTAGATGCATGATTGCGGGGGCAACAAGAGCGAGTTGAGATAGTAACAATAAAAACAAGTGAACTTTAGCACAGATTGTAGGTGAAAAGGAATAATTTTTCTCTGAGTTAGAACTAAGATGGATTTGATAGACGGAGGAGTTACGGCTGTCAGAGCATTATGTAAAAGTATTTTGTTGTAGTTTGAGAGAAGTAGAAAATGGTAACGTGTTCACGATTAGTAGAGAATAGGAAAACAAGTTTGTTAAAAACCGATTAATGAGAACATAATAAAATTCGGGAGAAAATTATATCACAATTTGCTGCAATATGAACAGAATTAATTCAGTGTAGTAACGTGATACGCTCCAGAATGAAAATATGAAATAGTCGCTGAATTCGTCATAACGCCAAGTGTTCAGGCGGCGAAATATTCGAAGAGAAGTTGGGAGAGCATTGTTGATGGAAATGGCAATGGAACATCGCCTCTTCTATTACAGTTGTTTCTCTCAGACAAGAGTGTTCTGGAAAAGAGATGACACACAATTCACAAGGATTGTTACTTGGAGAAAGAATTAACGAGTATTGAAGAAGTTGTCACAGTTACCTCTGTCCAAACGAAAATTGACTCTTTCCTTACGAGAATTCGTGGCCTTTAGCTACGAGTTTCTTCTACATCCAGTGCCTGGCATACTCTGGGTCGAACCTTGAAGGCGTTCAAAACGCTTTTACTCAGCTTTCCGCATTAGCTTGTCGTAACAAGGCGAGCCGGCGTCTGCGATAGAAAACTCATTTCGACAATGCCAAACTTTAGCGGGAATTTTTACCCATCCAAGGAGCTGGTGCGATCTTTCGGTAACGCTCCGAACTAATAGAAAGAAGTTGATCATCGACTCCAAGGACTTTGCATGAAGAAATGAATATTTGGTCGGCAGTGAAGAAATTCGCGCGGCTTTTTGGAGAAAATTAAGACTCGGAAGCGCCAAGTTTAAAATGTATAATCTTTTCCTTTGAAACGCCTTCAAAGAACATCAAACGCCCTGTTAAAAAGACGAGGCGCCAAATTCGAAGTAATGCAATGTGTCAACACCAAGTGTGCCGTAATATCTCCGTAAATTAAAGTATAGACAATAAGTTAAAAGACTTTATAAACAATCTAGCTAATCCAAGACATGTTTAATTTATAACATAATTTTAAGATAGATAGAAAATTATCATTTTCCAAATAGACAGTGGATGGCTATCAAATTTAGATAAAATTAAAGAAAGAATAAATGGATTTTTTGTGAAACTATAAAAATGAAAAAATATCAGATAAAATTAATTTTGCAGTCGACTTTTCACGTCACTTACAATTTTAGACAAATTACCAACCCCTTTATGTTAGAATTAGTAGAAGAAATCGGTAATGAAACCTTTCCTATGCAATCAACCTTTAACGTCCGATATTTGTATGAGCGGCGATTTTCAGCCCACGAAAAGAAAACGAAGATACCCTGAGATAGTGTTAGTGTGTCAGCGCCCAAAACTGAATAAAGTTAGAGCTAGCCACTCCAATCAATTAAATAAAGTGAATAAAGTTGAGTAATAATAATAGGGGTATTAATGGGAGTGTCACAATTTGTTATAGGAACATCACATATGATAAGGACTCATTTTAAACGTATATTTGTTTACAGGATTCTGAGAAATACAGGAGAATTTTATAATTCTTCTTTCTTCTTTATGTTTATCATCGCTGCAGTAGAAATATGCTGCGCTATGTACGTATTTTTAAGGGTAAGGACTATGATACAATATTATGACTAAATTATTATACAAAAAGTATCTATAACAATGTACACTCAAACTTATCTAGTATATTGTTTTCAAGTAATGAAAATTATTTTTCAATAAAGCATTTTTTAAATTAAATCATTCATTTTGTTTATTCTGTAAATATGAGTGTATGTATGACAGTGTAAGAGATTAGGTGTCTCAACTCCCAGAATAAAACTGACTATTTTTGAGGATATTTCTGTTACAGAGCGCTGTGATGATTTGAGTATTTTCTCACAAAATGGCGAGCGCTGTGAATGATTTCAATATTTTTGCACATATACAAAGACTTAAAGATATGTCGCCGCCACTGACTTCTAGAGCCCTTAACACAGACCTGCACAACGTCTACTCCTTAAGACCGCGAGACCGGCGAAAGAAGACGTAGGGGCGAGAAGGAAGCTCTGCGGGGAAGGAACAAGCTTGACCGGGGTTGACGCGTCGTATAGTTTGAATGTGTGGGCGTCTAATGAATTGATCCATACTATAAACGTATTTGCTCTCTTATTTAAACGGGATATTGACCATGGTTTTTGTAGCTACAAGGGCCATATTTCACTGTTTACGTTCTTCTGCACTGCCATATTCAATTAGACATTGTTAATGAAAAAATGGTTTATCATCATAAAACAAAAAAATATTACAATTTTGTGTTTAGCACCACTCTAAATCTACGATTGTACAGTAGCAATGCCAATTACATTATCAGCCTTACAAGCAATTATACTTGGTATCTAAATCAAATATGTCTAACTCGTTTTGGGTTCATACTTCACATTGTCATACACCAACAACTAACATTTACAAACTAAAAGGTAATAATACTTTAACTTTATATAACAGTCCGTCATTCTCACAAATGCTCTTTCAATTTATACGCTACGGTTGGAATTGCGAATTCTCATTGACGGACCCCATTCCTTAAAAAAGGTCTAATCCCCACTCTCCTACGCGGCCCGGGTTTGCTCTCAAGTTGCACGCGGGCGGCTGCCGAGGTCAGTCAAAGTGCAAAATGCTGTGTAGGTCTGCCTTAAGAATAACATGCACTATTACTATGAAGTACACTACACCATTAAAACCGTTAGAATATTAGAATCTGTAGCAACTATTAATCGCTAATAACTAAAACCAAAATCCTGCCACCTAATTACTCGGGCTTCTTCCTGCGCTTGCAATCAGAGGGACACCGTCTGGGCCGCCACTATAAGCATGCGTGAAAATGTATGCCTGTTTCACCCGGTAGGTCAGTCAAAAAGGCGGCTAATTAAGTTTTCATGTCATGTGAGTATCTCTCGGGGGAGTCGAAAGAGTAGAGTATCACACAATTCTCTTCTGGTCCCACGCCCGAATCTCCTCGCGCCGCCTCAAGCTCGTGTGGCTTCACCCATACTCGCCCGACGACCTGCCACGCCTGTTGCTGCCGGAAAGCGTTTCTTTCTAACGTCCCCCAACCTGCCCATGACAGCAGCGTGCGGGGAGCGGGATGCGAGAAACACAGCCGCCCCCGACGACGAGACCGACTTCTGTTTCGATAACTATGCGGAGGCCAAGTGGCTGGATGTAGCGCTGGACAAGGATCCCCTCCCCAATCCAGTGCAGCCCAGCGCCCCTGCCTACGAGTCAGAAGTGGCCCCAAAGACCACGAAACGAGAGTGACGTGGAAACGAGAGTGACATTATTGCAGTCAACTGGAACTTCAACAGCACATACGTTCTTGCATTATTTCTACATTTCCAATTGTCAAAAATTTAGAGTTCAACGAAAACAATAAAGGCCCTCGCCATTATTTTAAGCATCGCTTCTCAAAAAAATTGAAGACAAAATATGGACCGAATTTATCATTTTTGAGCTTAAATCAAAGTAAAGCAAGTCTCAGTTCACTTCCCTTATTCAATGCCGTTTTGTTATCAAATTATTTATTTTTTGTCGTGAGAACACGTAGTGGGAGCATATTTCATGCAGTCAGCGCTAACCTGAAATTGACTAAAAAATGGCCGCTCGGCGTTTAATTTGCTGCAAAGGTGGTGTTGCTTCGGCCACTTTGTTTCTTGTTGACGTTCACACATCTTCTCTCTTACACAGTTGTACGAAGTATGTTTCTATGTATGTATGTAGGTAGATAGCTATAGTTTGGTGCATCAAAATAATTAAAATAATTTTCATTCATTTAGGTACCAATGGATGCGGTATACATTGCTATTTTCTTATTTTTAATAATTCAAGAGCTGCTTCAGTTGAGCTTTTATTGTTGGTTAGGGGATAAAATCTCTGAAAATGTAAGTATCAAACAATTTCATATTCCCTTTGTAATTCACAACTCTCCTCTGTATTTTTACTCTAAATTCCGAACACTTCTTTAAATTTAATTTCGTTCTCGTTCTAAAATTCTCTACTAGAATAATTTCCAAACCTTGAAAACGTGGGTAAACCTTTTTGTCTTGGTGGGTGTATGTAGTCCTTGCTTCATGAAGGTCACTGATTTGAAAAAGAATATTATTCTTTATTTTCTCTCCTTTTTATTAAAGAAAGAAATAATTTATCTGCCATGAGCGATGGAATGATAGTTCTATCTATACTGTTCGTCACTATAGTTCCAAGAAGAGCTAAAGGGTTATCGAGGTAATATGATTTTTACTACGGAAATCAGTTCACAATTATATTTCTTTTAACGACTATTTATTTAATAATGGATACATACATTACATATCTTAACGGGCGCGAATTCCGCGGGTAAGCCAGTATGGCCGACCGCTTTGCTGGGTATGTAAAGTGAATGGGCAGTTTTTAGTGTGCAAACTTTGCCGCAGGTATGCGTCAGACGCTCACATCCTATTGTAGTTATTCACGCAAATGTGAATAACAGGATTTATGAAGTACAGAAGGCTGGAAATAAGCGAGTTAATTTCGTAATAAAAGAAAAGCCTCGTTTCATTTGATTCTCACAGTCAAATCTTACCCTGTGGTGACCGTAAGAGAATCAAAAATCAGTTTTCGTTTACAAATGTGAAGACTCATTTTGCGGTGGTTTCTTCACGCAAAACGCAATTTCCTAGATACACATACATGACTTAGAACTGTATTACAGTATCTGGAGTCAAGTCTAAGCAAGGATGTTCCCTCCACTCCACGAGAATAATACTGCATCTCATGACTCTTGACTACTCCCAGATCTATCCCTCACAGATTCATACACCCCCCCCCAATTATCTGTAATCAAAATTAATGGCCAGTTCAAAGGTACCATATGGAAAATCACTGTTGCAACCAATGCGACTTGGCCCAGTTTCATGATTCATTCAGCTGGTAAACTGAAATCAACCCCTACACGAGTTTCTCAGAAGCAAAAATTCACATAGAAAATCTCATCCAGAGAACGCTCTGAGCTTCGAAAATACTTCAATGGAAAATGTAGGTTCCATTTAATTTACAATGATTGTGATTGTGCAGGCGAACGCCGTGGGTACGGCAGCATATGACAGCGGCTGGCCCAATGGAAGCATCTCCGTCCAGCGCTCTATCTTGTTGACGCTGGGTCAAGGCCAAAGAGGCTTCATGCTCACCGCCAGCTTCATTCCGGTCAACTTGGTCACCCTGCAGCAGGTACGTCCTCGCCATCCCCCTCAACGCGCAACTCCCTCAACACACAACCTCAGCTCTGACACATTTGAACACACAACGTCCTTCATTCAACCACAACGTGAGGGGCCTTCTCCAACTAGTACTTTGGGAGGGCTACATAGATTTGATGTTCTCTGCAGGCTTCATTCCAGACACCAGCTTTCTCTAAGCATAATCATTCTCTTACTCCTCCTCCTCCTAAACGCCTAACCCTCTCATCACCCCATTTTCAGCCCTCACCCATTTGAACAACTAACCTCCACCACTGAACCCCAGGGAGTGCAACATTATCCTGTTTATGCTGCGACAAGCCTGAGGGCTGACTCTCTCCACGGGCATGACCTTCACCCTGCAGTTGTACGTGCTAGCAGCTCCCACCTAAACACTATACCCTCTCAATACTCAATTCCATATCTCATTCATCTGAACACCACACATCCTTAACGCAAACTCAGTGCGCGGAGACGTCTGCTGAGACTGATCTAGGTACAAAGAGGTTTCGTGGTGGTCTCTGCTGACTTTATCCCAGTCACACTGCTCACTCTACAGGAGGTATTTCTTCCTCCTCACTCGATCACTCAATCCCCTCAACAGTTTGCCTTTCCTACACAACCTACTTTCGTACTCAAGTGCAGCTCCAATTTAGCATCTCAACTGCCAAACTCCTTCACTCAACCTCATCTCCACACTCACCCTGATCCGCTTACACAACTACCTCCACATTCGACCTTTGTTTCCGAGCCCTCTCCTTATTGCGTTGAAGAGCTCGAAAATAGAAGGATTTGGATTGGCATTCAGCACATCGCAGGCTTCATTTCAGCAGGCGCCCTCTGCAGGCGCGCTCCTGACTTTCCCCGTATCGCATATGTAGTTATTTATGACACATCTCGTGTACGCATTTATAATATTTCGCTGCGGATGGTGTACAATGAGAGCCTTTCTGTGCTGCTCAGATCCTCAACGCCGCAGGCTCCTACATGATGGTGCTGCTAGCGGTGAGCGAGAGCGACAGTTCCAACGCTGATTCTGATATTTTAGCAGGTTGGCAACGCCATTTACTATTCTTGTTTTCTCCTCATTTACATTATTGTAATTTGTATTGACTTGGAAATATTTTTAAAATGTTTATACTTTGTATGTATATTATTAGTATTTTATTTGATTATGTTGCAGCTGTGGAGAACATCTTGCCCTAGTATTGATAATCGCGTAATAATTATCACTCTAGATAACATAGGGTATTTCCTAAATGAAATTGCAGAACAATGAGAATATTGTAGAAATATGCAAGTGGATGTTGCTTTTAGATACAAACATTCATTAACATTATTTAATATGGTAGTGACATTTCTCACGCTGGCTCTCAAACCTCATAGGTAGGAAAACATAAGACTGTTTATATAGAGTTACGGTGAGTCGTAGATTATTGCACTAGAATCGTTTAAGTTATATAAGATTCAAACGAACCTTATAAACTATTATGATAACTACCGTTAAGTCCATTGATTTTTTTAAATACTTTCTTTTCATCAGGGCTGTCTTTGACATTGACAGTGAATGCATTTTCGTAGTACAATTTCTTCACATCAGCGGAACCATTGCATACTCACAAAAATACCGAGTGATTTTTTCTTCTTCGAGCGATATAAAAATTCGCCTTAAAACTCTTCAGAAAACGCATACTATATCACATACTACTCAGTGTCTCACATTGTATTTATTAGGTGAGGTATCAAACACTGCACATGTCCCTCCATATGATCAGTTGGTGTGTAATGTAAACGTGGCATAAAATAATTCCACGATTCTGTATAACCTTTCACAAAGCACTGTGAGAGGAAAGATGCCAGACATTGTTTATCACCCAGTAAATTCACTTGTTTTATCGTCTAATATGTCATTTATGTGTGATGTTTTAAGCAGTTTATAAATGAGTGAAGGAGGGTCGGTCAGAAAGCAATGTCCCACGTTTGTTTTCTCCAGAAATATTATTCGAAGAACCTAACAATTGTACATATTATTATTACATTGTTCTTCTACTTGTTCTATTTTCCCAAACAATTTCCATGGTCTTATACAGTCTTGAGCGAACGTGAAACAAGGGCGAGCATGCCTTGCCGAGACCAAATCTTTTCCTGACGGCGTAGCCGTTCGCGAACCACACTGGTGTCATCAAATTTTCTTCCGCGAATATCGTTTTTCATTGGCCTAAAGAGATGAAAATCAAAGGGGTCAATATACGAACTATATGGTGGATGGGTAAGCATAACCTATTTTGTCAGTGCTTCTCAACGACGACCTCAATTACAGCACGCTGTTTGTGCCGCACGTCGTCTACAGTCACCGGTTTAACAGTTCATTAAGGAACTGCCATCTGTAAGAGAGAGACTTGAAACTTCATCCACTAACGCTGAGAAAACAAACCTTTGAAAGTTTACTTTCTGACCAATCCTCATAGTAGTTTATGGTATATGAACGTTAATTCTAATAAACTTATGTGTTTGTATTTATCTTCCGCTTTTGCCGAGATTCCATTGTCATCTCATCCCATTTCTTTCCTTCAATTCAAATACCTGTTAGGAAACACCAACTGACTTACAAAGTGATTTAGTGACACAGAATGGTCCTTCACAACCATCCACTGGATTTATACATCTAAGCACGTTCCTGAAGAAAGGAATTGTTCACAATTGATGGTGGTCTCAAATGACGGTTACAATGGCCTCCTGGCACAAGACTGATTCAAAATGAGGCACTAGTATGTGCACTAACGAATGCACTCGGAATTTTCAGCGAAAACAAAATAAAACACTAGTTGAAAGTACAACCAGGCAAAGTCGTTAAGAATTTCAACGAATATTCTCACGTTTCCCAATCAACGAATACATTACATTAGAGAAGACGCACGGCGCTAAGCATAAACCCACTTTTCCGGATCTTCTGTACAGCACCGGCTTAGCGACTTTAGACGGACTCGCCGCCTTAACACATTCACTCCATAGAAATCTCTCCCTCGGAACTTTCTCATATACGTAATCTTTATTTTGAGTGTCACTGCGAACCAGTCAGAGACCTCCTCACGTCATCTGGCAAAGTACGGCATCTGTTAAATATGATAAAAAAGAAAGGGCAAAATCAAAGCTTAAGGGTGAGCGAACCACTAAGTAACCTTCCTAACACCACAAGCCACATTGACGTTATCTGTCAACCGTGATAACAAAGGAGGGACAAAACGAAAGCAGGAGGGTGCAGGGTAAAAAATTCAGAAGATCCTATCTTAAATTTTTAACAACCCTTCCGCTTTGAAGGTAAAATGAGTTAAAAATATTCAAAGTGGCAATTTTGATTATCACCAGCCATAAGAAATACGCACCCAACAACGTAACGCACAAGCTTACTTGAGCTTTTCGTCAATCGACGCTGAATCGACCTCGTAGGCAGGCTAGGTGCAAAGATGTGTTATTGGCCGTGGGAAGGTCAATTCACATTAAATCACAACACGTACGAGTTTATGTGGCCCTGCCACGGACGCAACATTTATTCCCACACTTCAGTTTCAAGGGGGGAGGCAAGTTTAGTCCACGCTGACCTGGATGGTCAAAGTATCTAAGAGCTTGTACTGACTCAACGCTTTGGTCTGAAAGGTCGCGGGTTCGTGTCTCGCCTTGAGCATGGTTGTTTGTCCCTTGTCTCTCGTGTATGTATTGTCGTGGATGGCCTCGCGTTCTGCTGAGCGGCCGGCTCAGAGGAACCTGCAAGTAAATTGGTGCGTAATGTATTGTCGAATATGCGTCCCATCAGGTAGTAAAAAGTAAACGGTCGTAGTGTGTTTAAAAGCCATAAAAGATTAGTTAATGCATCTTGTTGATTTTCAAATTCTCGCGGATAAGGTGTCATTTCGTGCTCTAATGTGGCGATTTAAGACAGTTCGAAGATCATAATTGCAAAAATTTTGTTTTTTAAAAAAAAATGTTTTAAACTATTTTTTGTAAAATTTATTCATACCCGAATCAACAGCGTTTTTATTAGTGACTAGTCTATAATGTTACAATACAAGAGTATTCATTGCGTAGTTTCATATTGTTTACAGTTTTACATTTTTGTGCAACGCATAGCTATTAAAGTTTTCATTAAATATTGCAGTAGTTGTTGAAAATATGTCAGAATATGTGATGATAATATACAGTGTCCATTCAAAAACCGAATTACAATTTGTTAAAGACATTTATTTAAAGGATTTTAATTTTTTTCATGAATAATGCTTGCATGAAGCAATGCGTCAATATTAAAATCCTGTAATTTAATTGGTGGGATTGGTTTTATATGTAGGACATTCCTGAATAATGCACAATGTTCATATATTGCATATTGGGGGAGTGTTCTTATTTAATAGATGAAGGTGACTTAGTCTGAGCTACAAATTATTTTATTTATTACATTAGTAGACTATAAATTTCATACCATAATTAATAAAAATAAAATTAAATGCTCACCTCTATATTGCAAAACATCCTTGTATTCCACTAAGACCAGCAAATGGAAATGGAGAAAACTGGAAACTGTTGCGATCGAGTCCGCTAAAACAAAATAACTTGAAATGTGAAACACACAAGCCACACACATGAACGCACAGAACACTAAAGGAACGGCATCCTTCCGCCAAGTGGAAATCGCATGCAGGCTGGATGTGACGTTTCAAAAACAAGCAAAAACCACCAGACAATAATTGCTTAATATTATTTCAACTAGCACTCCAAGTAGCCAGGCAGTGTGTTGCTAATTCCTTTTCACGCCTGTTGTTTGAACGGTGCTGAGTTCTCTGGAAACTCTGGTCGATAGTTTTCCGTAGTTTCTTCGATCAATACGCGAATGCCGGAGCAGTACCTTAACAAATGAGTCACGTACCGCACGCGCTTTCCTACCTCTTCCTTGCCCTATCTTCACCCTTTACACACACACACACACACACACACACACACACACACACTTACACTAACACGCACTACACATGCTCACATGTCCCTTGTCCATGGGAGACCGGTCGGGAGCTTAGAGCATGTACCGTCTGGATTGGTGCCCCGCTGGTAGGAGAAACTTTGTTGGGGAAGATGACCATCACCTCTCGACAAAATAACACGAACTACACTTAAGGAACTAATGCCTTCAGTAGTTGATACGCCCGGAAACACTAACAACCAACCCACGAACCTAACGGGAACGATTCAAACGGGCGAGCCGAGGGCTTATTTTCCGAGGTGATACCCAACGAAAATTCATTCAGAGATCACTAGGAATCATTGCAGAGCCCACTCTAACCCGTGGTGGCGAGCACATCGCACTCCTCAGCTCCTCACCACAAGCTCAGTTGTTTGTTACCTGATACGGTTCTCTAAGTTACGTTAGTTAGAGTGAATTTAAGACAGTGCAGTCACTTCGTGAAGTGACAAAGTGAAATGTTATTTCAATTAACAGTTGCAGCCGTAAACACAATTAGCAACCTAGAAACATCACCCATGAGTAACCTAGGCTACACCATCGCCGGCGCATGCAGGTGGTCTACAATCTCGACAGCGCCACGGACGCGTCTTCCCTCTTCCCATCTGCACAGCTATGGGGAACATGCGACAAGCCAGAATGTCCAGTACTAACCAACCCGAACAAACCGAGTTCCTACAGCAAAGGACAGGAACCTCGTTCCACGATAACTGTATTTCTAAGGTCAGTAACCCCGGCGAGCAAATGTCGCCACTCAGGCACATCCAGATTAAACCTCCTTCATGACCCTGGCATAAACTCTAACTGCAGAGGAAGTGGTCACAATGACAGCGATTCGGATTCGAGTTCCCAACCAATACAAAATCCACTAGCCGTAATTAGATCCATACTCAGCGCCAGTGAGTAACCTATTCGCCTCCCTAGAAAAACTAACCGGCAACGAAAACAGATTCAGCTACGTAAATGAATGTGTTTTAAAGAATCATGAAAACATAAGAATACCATCTATGTAAACAATGTACCAAACATATCCAAGCTCAGCAGAGAAGTTAAAATGCAATTAATAAATCATAACATAAATTTCTGGTAAACGTATGGAAAGATGAAGATTTTTGAAAACGACAGAGAACTTTTTGTTCGCTGGATCTTTGTAGATGTGAAATTGTCTTTTTTTATCTATTAAATATTTGATGGCGTTTCTAAAGTTTGCTATTGTTTTAAACATTAGTTTAAAATCATTAACGATCTAAAAATTTAATTAATCGTACCAACACACTATCCACTAGACCCAAATAGGCATCCTGATAGACTAGATGTCGCAAATAACCAATACACAATTTTTCACTTATCTCCTAATTTCAAACTAAATTCAGAGCACCTACCAGTCGTTATCTCAACACATCAAACACCTACCCCACACATTCCCACCTATGCTCTGCACATATAAAACATCAACTGGAATAAATTTAAAAATATTATAAATAATCAAACCAAAATTTAAAACATTAAAAATTGAACAAGCAATAACGCAACTAAATAATATGATTATTAGCACAATTAAATCACTAAATAAGAACCAATCTCTTAATAGCAAAAGAATCACGAATGTCAAACTGCCAAAACCAATTTTGGATATAATAAGCACCCAAAATAAAACAAGGCGACTTTGGTGTATCACTAGATTACCACAATTAAAAAAATAATTTGATTTCTTAAATGCAATAACCAAAAACGCAATAACTGTCAACAATCATCCAAACTATTATCTACTTCAATCCCTTAATACAACAAATAATGGCAATGTTCTAAACATAATTTAAAAAAGAAAACGCAATTCTGGCTATTGATCATTCAATCAGGAAAAAAGTTCGCACCTATTGACAAAGCAGAAGCACTGGCCAATCATTTTGAGCAAACAATAACTTTTAATATTACCCCACTACACCAGATCATAATAATATTATACACCTGGCAACATCCCCTAAATACAATGTTCCACATGAAATTAAGTTCATCTCCCCCATCAAAGTTAAAACTATTATAAACAAACTCCCATTCAGAAAAGCCCCACGATAAAATAAGCAACATAATATTCAAAAAAACACCTAATCACACGATAGCTTATCTAAATTAAATATATAATTTTATAATCAAAACAGGTTACTGCCCAATTATACGGAAGAATTGCAATATAATTTCTGTACAAAAGCCAAACAAAAATCGATTCATCGTAGAAAACTATAGACCAATTAGCCTTTTCCCACCATTTTCAAAAATTCTAGAAAAACTAATACTCAAAAGAAAATGCCCCTTTGAATAAAACCCAATCTATACCCATGCACCAATTTGGATTCGCCAGCAAAGTATCTACTTCCCATCAACTGCTCAAACTCTCCGAACTCACCCATACAGCTTTCCAAGACAAAAAACACACAATAGTCACATTCATT